TATTTTCGACTGTCTGCTAATCATCCTCATCTATCTAATATTTTATGAAAAACGCTTTAAATGGAACTAAGATTGTTGTGGAATTTATAAAAGACCTGATGCGAATCGTCATACTTGTCATGCACTAGATGATCGTGTGGCACGCTTGATCACATGTTTAACTCATGTATTTCTCATTCCTAATGTAAACGTTGAAGGACGGAAACATTTGGGATGCTTTTTATAGAGTATACACTCAGTGTTAGAAGCATGTAGACGTAAAAGACCTAGGCACTGTTTTCAAAAACAGGTAATCCGCAGTTGCACTAATGGGAAGCGCGAAGGCGGTGAATTTGTCGGCCTGACGGTGAGCTCGGGCGGCGAGTGGATTTACGCGGTGTGTGAGGATCGCCTTCTTTACTGCTTTAACGTCAGCAGTGGTGGCAAGTTGGAACGGACCCTTCCGGTGAGCAGTGACAGTTGTGATTCGCCATCAGTACTTCGGGCTGGAGGTTTTTGATGCTTAACTTTTGCTTTGCTTTTTAGGTGCACGAAAAAGAGATTCTCGGGGTGGCTCATCATCCACACCAAAACCTCATCGCCACATTCTCTGAGGATGGGTTACTGCGGCTTTGGAAACCTTGATTTGAGTGTCTATGATTGTAGGTTAAGATTGGTTTTGTATATCTGATGCTGCGTAAGTTAAGCATTTTTTAGTACCTATTGCCTTTTCGTGTATTTGGCTCGAATTGATCTGTTAACCCGGTCAAGTCATCCTAACTCGTGAACGGAGTAAATTTTTAAACAAAAGCTCACTCAGTTTATGCTGCCAGATCATCCCGTCGAAAGCCTTGTCATTTACAACCCTTATGTGGGCGATGCATCAGGTAGGCGTTTGAGCAATTTGTATTTGTTAACCCTGACTTTTTAACCTTGTTAGGTACTTGGTTCGTATAATTAACGAAGTGTCTCTTCTTAATGGATGCCTAAGGGACGTACAAAGACTCTTAGCCTTAAGTCTTCTCAGTAGAATAGTCGGTAGTACGATGAATGTATCCCAGAATCATCAAACAGAGTGAAGTGCTTGGGATATTAGATACAAATTACGGATGCGCCCCTCCTCGAGCTCTCCATATCCCGTTAGACTAAACGTTGGTTCCATGTGTGCTTAGACTACCCTTGAAGACGAGCATTATTTAAAAAAATTCAGTTTAACCATCTAGCTTGTAAATTAACAGCCTTATAACAGCTTAATCAGCTCCCCCTTCTCCCCTCAAAAAAAGAAACAACCAAGTACCGTTG